TCAATATTAGATATTAACTAAATTATAAAATGACAATAAAATGTAACTAAGGCCAAGTTTGGCATGCGTTGAAAAAGACAAAAAGTCAAAAAGTCACTATCCTATTTAAGTCACATCATCTTATTTAAGTCACATCACCTCTCTAATACATCACTTCAAACTCAACCCAAACCCAACCCATATTTCATAAAAAGTCAAAAAGTACACTTATTTAGATCATCCCAAACAACCCCTAAATTATAATAGCATTATGACAAGTTTATCATAATCATGCATGTATAATTGTTGAAAAATTATGTGAAAAAATGGTTATGGTGATGTGCCACGTAGTCGTACATAATATGCACAAAGCATTTGTGGTCATGCTTTGGTAGTAATACCATCATCATAAGCTCCTAAATTGATGACGACTCAAATTTGGGGTGTTTTGGGAAGGTAATAAAAAGTTGGTTTCTGGTTTTTTATCAAATTTTTTGGCTTTTTGAAAAGTGATTTGGGAAGTTAATAAAAAGCTGCTTTTGGCTTTTTTGGTTAATAGTTATTTATGATATCACATCACAATAAAATAATCAAACTATCCTACCCAATTTAAAAAATTTACATGTTCACCCATGTATAATCCTAAATAGTATAAAGGGTATAATTGTAATTTTCCATATAGCTTTTTTTCTCAAGCTGCAAACGTAGCTTTTTACCGTATTGTCAAAAGACCACTCTATCATCAATGAATGTTAAATCCTAATAATTATTCATAAGCTTTGAAATGTTACATGACATTATTTATATGTTTGTTTTAAATCAATGAAAAAGCAAAAAAAATTTGAATAAAATATATTAATTGCTTTTATTAAGTAATTAGGAGGTCAAAGATAGCAAAAAAATTTATGAATAAAATATATTAATTTGCTTTAGGAGATCAAAGATAACTCACCTTATATGTATTGTGATTTTTCATTATCAATAAGAAAATTGCCTCAAACCCCTAGTAGGATGACCCCACCACCCTCACTGTTTTTCATTGGTCCATAATTTTTATTTTATTTTATTTTATTTTTTTGGGTCTTTCACTTGTTGCCCCCCACATGGAGGTGGGGGTGGGGGTGCTGGGTGCCCAGCAGGACTCTATCAATAATATTACATGATATTTGTAAATATTTAATAATTTTTTGCAAAGCTCATGTTATTTGGCAATTTTTGACATTTATTAATCCCCTTAATCACATGGAAATGGAGGTGTATGAACTAATCGTGCGGATGAGAAAGGCGAATAAGTTATTGGTCGGTTCAGGCAAACGTGGAAAGATAGGCCAATAGAGGTTACAAATTAACATAATGAAGGGCAATTTAGTAATTTCAATTATATAGAGTATTTTTTTTTCTTTTAAATTGTTATTTACACATTGTAACTAATTTTACAGCAACACTACATGTCTATAAAAAAAAAATTCAAAAAAATTATCAAAATTTAAATTGTGTGGATAAAATTCATTATAGGTGACTCATAACAAGAAGTTTTCATCTACAATGAGCTATTTTGGGAAGATGGTTATAATCAGTTTTTTTGATGAAAAACTACTTATAAGCAGTTTATAAGCAGCTTTTTTGTGAGAGAGGAAGTGGGTTATAATCTGGGAAGTAGATTATAACCCACTTCCCAAAATAGGCTACAATCATTTTTATGGGCATATTTTAAAAAATCACTAAAACTAGGCGAAAATTTGAACCTTTTTGTTTGTGTTTTCGTTTCCTTTTAGTGTTTTTTTTGTTTCTTCATATTTTCGTTTTTTTCCCCCTTACTTTTTAGATGCATCTAATCTTAATTTATTTATAAAATAAAATAAAAGTTTAATAAAGACAAACGAAAATCTGTTTAAAAATAGCTTCTAAGAATTGTAAACAACAAAGGGTGAGATTGCATATTTTTTCTGTAAAATTTGTCACCCATGAAATTGTAATTTGTTTACCCAAATCCCATTTTGTTAATTTCTAAATTAAAAAGGAAAAAAAAAAAACCACAATTTGAAAGAAAAGAGCTCAATTCTCACTCTGTATGTCGGCCCTCCAAAACGACCAGTCTGCTCTCTCTCGAATTTGTGTTTTACGTAAGCACACCGTTTTACAAAATAGGCATACATATTTTAGATATATTTAAGAGAGAATTGCAAATCAAATAAAAATAATAATTGCAAAAATATTGAATTGCGAGTGGAACATTGCGGTGCTGTGGTGCAACTGAAACCTGTGGTACAATTCCCTGTATTTAAATTGTTGTGTTTTAGGGAAATTTTGGAATTATTTATCAATTTAATGATTTTATTTTACCTACTAGTGTCAATAACCATCAATTGAAGGCATAACAATCACCCAATCTCGGATTGTAATCCTCTCTATTCCAAAAGTTGGAATGAAAAATCTCCATTACATTATTAAAAGGTTTGCAATAATTTTTCTAAATTTAAAATGGTAATAAATTTTCATGATTATTTTATAACCTTTACATGATGTAATAGATAATAGAGAGGATCTCAATCCACCAATCTCACATGGTGTTTGGGTCTACTAAATAATTTTCTAATTCCTGTTATTTAGCCCCCCCCCCCAAAACAAAAATTATATTTAAAAAAATGGATAATTAGTCTAATACCTCTCTCCAACTTTTAATAATGGAAGAGGTTCACAATATTGGTTTTTGTAACTTAAGGCCCCTCACACCCACACCCACACCCACACCCATTGATTTCGAGTTGATTTGGCCAGAGAAAATTACAGGGGGAAGTGTGTGATTTGGCCAAAGAAAATCAACATGACAAGGGAAAGAAAATCAAATTTCTCTGGCTATCACATAGAGAAATTTATCCTAGTCTTTCAAAATATTCACTGTAAAGGTAGAAAAATCCATGACAGAGAAATCAACATGCCAGAAAAACTTACACACATCGATTTCGAGTTGATTTGCAACCAAAGTGTTCGTTGTTTATTGATTTCAAGCTGATTTAGCCAGAGAAAATCACAAGGGGGAGTGTGTGATTTGTCTAAAGAAAATCAACATGATAAGGGCAAGAAAATCAAATTTCTCTAACCATCACACAGAGAGATTTATTCTAGTCTTTCAAAAGGTTCACTGTAAAGTTAGAGAAATCCCATGACAGAGAAAATCAACATACCAAATAAAATTGCACGCACACAACTAGTTTGAAGAAGAAGCAGCTCAAAAGAGGAGTAGTATGTAAATTCCAAAGAAAATCAACAGGCACAAGGATATCTCCATTCCCTATTAGAATTTCCACATTATCCCTGTAGAAATGAAAAAGTCTACCATTCCTTTGAGCCACTGATAAGATGTCTGACCAAATCTTGGATGTAGAACCATTAGCATCCAGCACTAGGAACCACCTTCCCCCAAAAGAACCATATTTCTCACAAATAACCTGCTTCCACAGAGCATCATCCTCCTGGCCATACCTCCACCACCATTTCAAGAGCAAACTATCATTGGCTACCCTGATATTCTTAATCCCCAAACCCCCTTGTTTCAAACTCATACAAACCTGTGACCAACTGACCAAATGGAGCTTTTTATTACGCACTGAATCGCTCCATAAAAAAGATGATTGAATCTAATCAATCTCGTTTGCAACACCCTTTGGCATCTTAAAAACAGACATGTAACACACAGTTAACGCAGACAACACAGACTTGATGAGAGTAACTCTACCAGCAAATGACAAAACTCTACTCTTCCACACAGATAACTTCTTCTGGAATTGCTCCACCACTGGTCTCCAAGTCAACCTCCTACTAGGACTGGCCCCCAATGGTCCGGGGCCATCGCATATCCTATTTTGATGATCTAAGTCATTCACAAACGTTATAAAATAAAAATATTATGATTATTAAATTAGCTTAATTTTTTTAATGTATAATATACACGAAATGTTTTACAAAATGAACTGTTCGAATTATCAAAATGAGACTGTGGTATGCCCCATTGGCCTCTCAAGTTCTTGAGATCAACCTTTTATCCTTATTTTTGAATTTTAGACTTAAGTAATACGATTATATCTTATTCTGTAATTAATTTTTTTGCAAATTTAAATCATACCATGCATGTGTCACATTTGAATAGTTTAATCTTTTGAATGAGTTGGTAATTAACAATCTAATATAATATCAAAATAGGTAATGAATTCTACATTTAAAAATATTTTAATAATTTGATTGTATACTTGACATAAATTAGAATTTATTTAAGGATCAACTAAGAAAGAGATAGAGACTAATAACATGATGCAAATTTAAGTTATACCATGCAGTAGTAGGGTTTTCGCGTAGTTGTTAGCTTCATTTTTCTCGTAGCTTAGTTGTTAACTTAGTTTAGTTGGTTTGGTAGCTGTGTAGTGGGGTTTTCGCTAATCTATTTTATGACTTAATTACCAAAAAAAAAGTTTTTCTTAGATGACCAAATTCAAACAATTTGAAAATACATTAGTCTACATTGTACTTTGCAACTTTACTACTTAAATATGTTCCATCTCAATCTATGTTATATACTTGGAGAACTAAGGAAAGATTAGAGATAGACGACATCATATGATTTTCTTTGTATGATACACATTGTGCATTCCTAAATGGAATAGGTTAATAGTATACATGATGCGTTTTATGACACACAAATTAAAAAAACTTGATCTTTCATTTGTGATCAGACATGGACAAGAGTTGGATTGCATTGGGTAAGACACCTGATGGAAGGATGAGTCAGCCATTTATTGATGGGGTGACATCATTTATCAAATTTGCAATGGCAGTTGTTGACCAGGAAGGAAAATAGGAAGAAGAAAGTGGTGGAGAGGGCAAAAACGCTCTCCCTCTCTCTCTCTTAGTCGTGGACACATGCACATGGAGAGTGCCTAATTTCAAAACCTTAGGGGACGCCAATGCAATTTAACCTCTAGACTAAAATGTAAACATGAAACAAGAACTAATGCAACACACACGATATGACGTTTGATAAACTATTGAATGATGCCAAATGTGAGGTGTACTTAGGTTGCACAAACTACACTCTGTTGAAGTTTGTCATCGAGCTGCTTAATATGAAGGTAACAAACCACTGGAGCAATAAGTCAGTTGACACACTGTTGGAGTTTTTAACAAAACTTTTACCAAAAGATAATTTGGTTCCAAAGTCATTTTATGAAGCTAAGAAAATACTTCGTGATTTGGACTTGTTATATGAGTTAATTGATGCTTGTATAAATGATTGTGTACTCTTTTGGGAGGAAAATGCAAGGTTAGATAAATGTCCAAAATGTAAGGCATCTAGATACAAGATCAATCGTGGCAGGGGTAAGAAGATTCCCCATAAGGTGTTGTGGTACTTCCCATTGATACCAAGGTTGAAAAGATTGTACATGTCAAGGAAGACTGCTGAAGACATGAGAAGGCACAAGGACAAACGTATAGATAACGGAGTATTAAGGCATCCCGCCGATAGTGATGAGTGGAAGGAATTTGATACGCAACATCCTCAGTTTGCCTTGGAGCCTCGAAATGTAAGGCTAGGATTGGCTATTGATGGGTTCAATCCTTTCAGGAACTCATATAGTTTATGGCCTGTAGTACTAATTCCTTATAACTTGCCACCTTGGTTGGTTATGAAAGATCCCTTTCTTATGATGTCATTACTTATTCCTGGAGAATCACAACTAGGGATCGATATTGATATCTATATGAGACCTCTGGTGGATGAGTTGAACGAGTTGTGGGAAAATGTTGCATTATCTTATGATGCCGTAACTGGTGAGTCTTTCCAGATGCGTGCAGCTTTGAGGTGGACTATACATGATTGGCTTGCATTTGGTGACATATCTGGGTGGAGAACAAATGGTTCATTATTCTTGCTACACTTGCAATGATGAACCATATTTTCAATCCTTGAAATGTAAGACTGCATACACTAACCATCGATGCTACCTGTCTCAAAACCACCCCGAAAGGCGAAAGAGTAAGGCTTACAATGGTAAGCATGAGAAGCAAAAGAGATCTTTAGAGTTACCAGTGGAAAAAATATTAGAGCAATTGGACAGAGTGACAGGTGTCACATATGGGAAGCACCCAAGAAACAAGAAAAGACTCATTCAAGCACCAAATTGGACAAAGGTAAGCATCTTGTATGAGTTACCATACTGGAAGAAACGGAAGCTTCAACACAACATTGATGTCATGCACGTCGAGAAGAATTTTAGTGAAAATATCTTTGGAACTATGTTAGGCATTGATGGAAAGAACAAAGACACTGACAAAGCACGGATGGACTTGGAAGATATGGGTATAAGGAAAGAGTTGTGGTTAACACGTCGTCCTGATGGAACTTATGTCAAACCTAGGGCAATTTTTTCATTGACCCCTGAAGAGAGGGAGGGTTTTTTTGAATTCTTGAAATCGGTGAAGTATCCGGATGGCTATGCTGCAAACATATCAAGATCATTAAATGCGAGAAATGGTAAATTAACAGGCTTGAAAAGTCATGACTGCCATGTACTCATACAACGGATTCTTCCAATTGGGATGCGTGGTTACATAGACAAAGAGATTAGTAAAGCACTATTTGAGTTAGGTAGCTTTTTCCAGGATTTGTGCTGAAGGACACTACGCCGTAATGAACTTGAGAAATTAGAGGGACGTATAGTACACATATTATGCAAGCTTGAAAAGATCTTTCCTCCAGCCTTCTTTGATGTAATGGTTCACTTGGCCGTTCACTTACCGCATGAGGCTATTCTTGGAGGACCGGTGCAATATCGATGGATGTACCGGATTGAAAGGTAAATGTTAAATTGAAAGGTTCGTAATTATATGTTGCATGTGTAACCTTGCTCTTAACTAATTCTCTTTTCAAGGTTTCTCAGAGCTTTAAAAAAGTTTATTAGAAACCGAGCTCGACCAGAAGGTTCAATTGTAGAGGCTTACATTGTCAAAGAGTGCATTACTTTTTGTTCAATGTATGTTGATGGGATCGAAATAATGCATAATCGACCCAAACGAAATCAAGATCGTGGCGAACGTCGCAAAGGGTTGACTGTATTCATAGGAACTGCTCATCCTATTGGCCTAATCACAAGGGATGCTGATATGTCACAAGAATATCGTGATATGGCTCATTGGTTCTTGTTGAACAATAGCCCCGAGATAGAGAAGTATCTAAAGTATGTTTTTCATTTAAATATGTGTATTCTTAGCTTTGTTAATGTAGTTAGCAGTGCATAATAATCACATTCTTTTGAGTAGGATACACAAAAATCTATTACGGACTCCATCTGACTAAGGCATAACCTGTATACAACAACAAGAGTTTCCCAAGTGGTTTAAAAAGCGGGTAAGGCATTTTCAATTTTAAGACATGATTAAAAATTTGTATAAGATTTGATCATTTATTAATTTATTTTTACTATCTTGATGTACGTTATATGTGAATGTAGATAAATATATTGAGAGAAGAAAAGTCACCAGAAGCAACCAATGATTTATGGTCGTTAGCAAATGGCCCAAATTTACTAGTAAAAGAGTACTCAGGTTGCATAATCAATGGTGTACGGTTTCGTACAAGAGAAGTAGACAATCGCCGTAACAGTCAGAATAATGGTGTGCTTACGGAAGGGGATCATGAGGGAGTGACGCATGAATTTTATGGTCACTTGTGCAATGTTTGGGAATTGGAGTACACGTGTCATAACAAAGTTGTATTGTTCCAGTGTGAATG